ACCCATTCTAAAGAAAGATAAAAATATGTAATTTATATTAAAAAAATTATAATATTTCCTTTGCAGTTAAATCAGTCTCTATCTTGCTTTACCGTTAATAAGATGCACTGATTTGTTTTTGCTACATGCATCATCAAATGGCCAATAAAGCTTTGGTGAATTTAAAGTGGTACTTAGGCTGCGTTCACACCTGACCGTTTTGTAGGGCGTTCTACGCTCGACGAACGCTCTACAAAACGGTCAAAAATATAAATTGCATTGTAGTCAATGCCCTCGTTCCCACCTCGCCGTATTTCCGCCCATCCCTAACGCCCTACAAAACGGCCCACGCCTGAAAAGGTCCCGGGACTACTTTGGGCCGTTTTGTAGGGCGTTTTCCATTTGGATACTGCCAAGTAGCCTTTGGAATCGCGCGACGGTCGCGCGACTTTTTTACCGCGAATCGCGGTAAAAAAAACGCGTGACGGTCGCGCATATTACAATACGCCTAGGTGTGAATGGGGTGTTAGCACTGTACTCAATTACTTTAAAGTTCAGGTACGCTGTGTCTTTAGGCCTGGTTCACACCTGGGCGTTTTACAGCGCGTTCCTACGTGCTGTAAAACGCTCAACATGTGAAAAACAATAATTGCCTATGTAGGAACGCGCTGAAAAACGCCCTACGCCCAAAGAAATACAGGAGCTTCTTTGGGGCGTATTTGCCGCGCGTATCCATTAGGATACAGCCGGATAGCCCTCGGAAACGCGCGTTTGTCGCAAGTTTCTTTTAACGCAAATCGCGGTAAAAACGCGCGGCAAACGCGCATATTCCGTACGCCCAGGTGTGAACCCAGCCTAACTGTTAATAGACTAGTGCATGTATAAAGCAGCAAATGCGTATCTTCCTGGTGCATGTGTATTAACCTCCCTGGTGGTATGATTATGTCAGGAATTTTGTACATAGCATTGAAAATTCACCCCGAGCCAGACTCGGGATTACCGCCAGGGAGGTTAAAGTGATAATAAAGGCAAAATGTTTTTAAGCTTTTTCAAATTCTCCTAGTCTTTCAGTTAGGAGATTGTGGCTCATTATGTTTAATTGACGAATGAACATGCTGTAGTAGTTGGAGGTAGCATGTTAAGACAAATTGATGAACTACTAATTAATACTTTGAGCAAGATTTTTTTCAGACTGCTGCATCCTCTTTGATAAATGTATATAAATAAACGATATAGGTAGTATGAAGAATATTTGCTAAAGGTGCTTTGGGTGCATACTCTATAGTGTAATGTTATCATTGCTAAAACGGTGCTTCTCCATGTTGACAATCAGCTCAAACTACACAGAGCTAGTGCGATTCTGTGAGAGTGACATCAGTATGTGTATGCCCAACTTCTCCTATTTAATTGAACCAGAGGAGTGACTTGGGTGGGTAGAGCAACACCAAAAGGAGGAATAGCAAACCCTATTTGGTGCATCAATACATCAATGCATCTTGGGAACTGCACTGTAGTTCCCACGCAGGCTCTGCCCTCCATTGGATGGGCATTTGGACTGAACAAAAAGCCCATCACTGGTTGTGCATCTTTTGATGATCAGTCAACAAAAGAGGCATAATTATGCTAGTCAGGGTAGGGGGCAGGGCTCTTTTACTTTCATATAAGTGGTAGTATAAAACATAATAGCTCTGTCACTTAAAATCATTTAAATGACATGAGCACTGTTATGTTCTACCACATACATGGAAAACAGTGAAGTAGCTTTTTTTTTTTTTAAAAAAAACCAAAAGATCTGGGTGTGGCTGTGAATGTCTTTACATGTTTGAGTATTCTTTGACTGGCCAACGGTGGATTCATCCCGGCACCAGCCATTGGCTAAGGTGTGCGCTTCAGAATTACAACTACTTATCTGCATACTATTTTCAGGTCAGAGATGCAAAGTGTTTACAGAAATGAGGATCATCAGTGGCAACATTCATGTTTGTCATGACCGCATACATTTAAATTCTAATAAACATGTTGTTTGATACTAATCTGTTTCTTACTTGCAGGATCTATGACTTTGAAGCTGTATAACTTACCTGGATGAAAGAATAATAGTGTATTTATTTTTTTGTGATTTCAGATACATGATGCTGATTGATGGAAAGAATGAAGTATATATGATTGACAGAGACAACTCAGTATTTCGTGTATCTAACCTCGAGTTCCCTTTTCGAAAAGATCTGAGAGTCCATTTGACGAACACACTTTTAGATGGGGTAAGACCATGTATAAGAGAGGACTGTATACTTCTAGTGGGCAAGCAGTGAGATTTGTGGGTCATCAAGGGGCCTAAGGGCGCCTATGTAATATTTGTTGTTGTTCTGCTTATCAACAAAGGAAACTGCAAAGTGTGCTGTTGCAACTTGATTACTGATTAACCTGAAGGTGCAGCAAGACTGCTGAACTAACCCAGAAGCAATCAATACTTGCAATCATTGCACAAGCTACCTCAGGCAGCATATGCTGTTCCAAGTATGCCAGCCAGTGATAGCTAGAAATATTTGCAATGCAGAAGTGTGGTAGATTGTGATTGCATTTTCAGATTTTTAACAGATGTAATTTTTTTTTGTAACATAGTTATGAAGATCAGTGATGTTTTTGACTTAGATATTTTTTTTTAGTAGCTAATAACTTGAACATACTAGCACTTTGTGTCTTGCCCATATGTAATTCTTCTGACAGTCTCCTGGGAAGGCTAGTTTGTGCAGGGGTATTGAGAACGTTTGCTGCATTGTCAATGTAGAGTGACACTACAGCCTGAATTCAGCTTAGCATGGCATTAGTGCATTGTGTTGAACCATTTGGCAATCCTTACTGGTGCAAGCATTTATGCTACATTAGTTTTTGGAAGTCCAGCACCAAAAGAGCAGGTATTCTTTAACCCTAATAGATGGATGAATCTCCCTTACCTAAACTAATCTCACCTAATGCCCAATGATCACCTTGTTTTGTGCCATTGAGCAGCAGTGCCAAATCCTCGCAGTAGCTGCTGTGATCCCGAAAACAGCATTACTGTTATTGTTAATATGGGTACAGTTTGTTTGTCCAATTTAGACCAATTAACCATGTTTGATATTTATAGATGCTAAACATGTTAACACTTAGTTTTCACACTAGCATATAAACTAATCGGTATACAACATAAGTGTTACTTTTTTTCTATTCTTTATTTTTTTATAGTGTGTTTCTGCTGAAATGTTTTATATTTATTTTAAAGGGAAATTGTATTGTATTTGATGTAAATTCACTTTTTGAATCTTTATTTTGTCAGTTGCCTGAGAGTAATTTTTTTGTTATTTTCACATTTTTACATTCTTGCTCTTTAATCTTTTCAAGTGTATTTAATTTATAGATTTGTGGAATTTGTCTCCTAATTGATGTGTAGTCCGTGACCCTGCATAAATATTGCTAAAGTAAACATAGAGAATTTCTATTTTTCAGTATTTGTATTAGATATTAAATATATTACAAGAATAGAGATTGACAACAAATTATAATGTGGTGCAAGCTACCAAAACTATGGGTAAATGATTCTGTGCAATCAGTCTTGTGATTTACGCATATCTGCCATGACTGATCAGGAAGGTGACTTGCTTATTTCCTGGTATGGCAAATGCAGCTTTCTATGTCCTCTCTTCACTTCCAGCCTACTTGGCAATGGTACAGCATAATACCTGCTCTGCCCATTTGGTGGTCATATATAATGCAGTTATGCTGTACCCGGAAGTAGAATATTGACCTTGCTGGCTGTGTAATATGGTGGAGGTGTGCAAATTAGAATTACAAATCCTTTGGCAAGTAAATCAGATTGCATGTAAATTAACTGTGCATTCATATCTTTGCTTGAAGTTCCATTTTAAAATGGTAAGTAAAGTGCATTTCCTATAAGAAACCCAGATGGAGAAATGGAGCCATGTTGGAAAGAATGCAACGCTGTTGCGTGATTTCACTCTCCCCAGCCTCTAGTAATAAAATACCTAAGTGATGTGTATTCAATTTATTGGCCATTTGGATAGTCATGAGGTTTTCTAACAGCAATATACTGTGCATACTGTGACATTGTAGGTTTGATTGCTTTCTGTGACCGTAATAACATAACAAAACTTATTGAAAGTAATATTGCCAAAATGTGGCCATAACTGAGAGGTTTATGTGTATGTAATTATTCATGTACATGGGGGCAGCCATATTAGATTGTGGGGAAAAGAAACAATAGATTGTCTTCATTACTGGTGGACAGGGGTGTGGCTTTGGTGTTTTTTTGTTGTTTTTTTCTCACAATTATATTGTAATTTGGTAATGCTGACATGGTAATTAAAAATGCAACAGCAAGTAATAATGTAAAGGCTCACCAAATCTTACATTCAAGTGAACATTACTATAATAGATCAAAAGGTTTACTTAGTTAAAATGTGCTGTGGTTTGCCTTTAATGTCCTCTGTCGGTTTATTGCCTTAGAGGTCAAACAAATTTAACTTAATTTAGTAGCCAGGTCTAAGCTTAATATGAAAGTGAGGCAATCTGTCGTCTGATGACTGAGATTCACTGGACATGACACAAGACTGACTCTGTTCATTTAGATTGCAAGGTCTGGGCAATTGCAATGATTAAGTGGCATTTGCCATGTTTGCAGTTTATTTCTTTTAATGTGTGTTAAATAATTGAGGAGGGAAATTTAGAGTGGCCTCTCCCCAAGGAGAATCTGAGATGGGTTAAGTGAAAAGCATAGAGAACAGTAATCAATACCAACTTCCAAACTGCTTCACAACATTATATACCAGACACAGAACTGGTTCATGGTGTTCAAAACATGTGACTTATTTTAGAAAAGCTATCATAGAAGTGCAATAACCAGGCACATACAGTACTTTTTCACTCACTCTGGTGAAACTCTGTTTATTAATGATGTATGGTACACAGAGAGTTTCATTGTATACACCTCTAAAACGCCACACAAAGAAGAACTTAACCAGACAGGAAACGGGCATTAATTTCAAACTTCCGGACAGCATTATATGGAGGACTGGATGTTGAATTAATTATGCAATTAATTATGCATGTTAATTTTATATTTATGACATCTTTCTCCTCACAGTGTGTGTATTTGGTTTGAAGGGAACTAGTTACATGGCTGCTGTGTTGGTAGAGAATTGTATAAATCAGATCAAAACCACATTGTTTCTGGCTTGTAACATTGTGGTGCTGGCTGCTAGATTTTTTGTAGATTTGTCAAGTTTTCAGTTTTGTTTTTCTCGAAATCTGTGAATGTTTTAACCTATCCAGGTAATAGTATACCGTAGCTAGTAGCACTTAGTCATAATGGAGTGGATTTCTTCTGTAATGTACTCATCCAGGGATCATTTTGAGCTGAGGAAGTTACTTGGACAAGTGTCAAAATATCTTCAATATTCTTCAAGAATTAGTGCAGTTGGACTAACTGCTACTAGATATGCATGTTGTCCGCTTATCTTTTACATGGCAGACGTTTGTAACATCTCATTCTCTAAAGCTGGACATAATAGAATTGTTGGAATTGCTGACTGTCTCACAATGCCTCCTATGCCAATTTCCCCCTTACACTGGAGCATTATAGTGGCATAAGCACTTCTGTTTAAGGCAGTGGAAGAAGTAGAATGAGCCACGTGCAGATGTGTATTGTTGGGGAAAACAGTACTTTATTTACCTTGGTCAATAATTTTGGTGCCTAAGAAAACTTACTTGGGCCCGATGCCTCAAAGATAGTTGATCGGATCTTGCCATCTAAAGTCTGCACGCAGGTTAAATGTATTTATAGATCTAAAATCATTGCCTGGGAAAGAAGAGATATTATTGTCAAATTGCACCATATAAAGGTTTTTTTGTTTCATATTTTAGGCACTGTCTGAAAAGTCACCTTAAAGAAGAAATCTGGATTAAAGAAGAAATCTGGATAAAAATGTCTATCAACCCTTGCAGTTGGGCTAGCCCTGCACTGCAAGGGTTAAGTGCTCCTTTTTGTCTAGGTGCTAAATGTTAAAAAAACTAAACAAAAAACTTTTACTCACCACTACCACCTCTGTGATCACTGAAGTAAGTTTACTCCTCCGCTGCACAGATGAACTGCTCCTGGGGGTCCTCACATCTATACACAGTCTATGCATAGTGTATAGAATGTGATGACAGCAGGATCCTTGGACCACTGCAGCAGAGCGGGAGAGATGTTCCATACACTGGTCTAAGAACAAGCCAGTTCGGATGATCTGGTTAGTATAACTTTTTTTTTTCCTTCTAACACCTAGACACAAATGAGCACTTACCCATTGCAGTGTGGGGGTAACCCCACTGCACGGTTAATAACATTTTCCCTGGAGTTCTTCGTTAACGTAAATTGTGGTGGTTCTAGGTTTGAAAGGAAATGTTCTTTCTTTTCTTACTACTTTCTTGTCCTTCTTGTCCTTTTTGTCCTTGAAGCCAAATCCAAACATAACACCTGTTGCTCTATACTATAAGGTACAAATGTAAAGATTCTAAAATATACAATTAGGGTTATATGGTTTTTCACATATTTGTTGGGAACTGTTTGCCATCTTATTTCTATTGATGTCACAGTGTCATTTATTGAGCCTATATATTGTAAACATTTAACTTTTTATTCACTGGTAAGCACAGACTTAGACATGTTTAAATGAAACCTGTCATGAGAGAGATAGTGGGTGCTATTGCCCACTTCTCAATTTATCTTACTTATTTCAATGACCAAGAGCAAGTATTCAGTTAGGGACTTCTTAATTTAATATGTCATTTGTGATCTGCATACTTGTTCCAAGTCAATGGCTCAAAAAGTATTGAAGCATGTGTGTAAACTATACAGCCTGGTAAGTTTTATGTTATAAGGAGAAAATGCACATGTCAGCCCCCATATTTCTCTAATGACAGCCTTACTTTTAGCTGTTTATACAAAATAAATAAAGAACCTATAATGAACTAACTATCCTTTTTTGTGTTTTTGTTTTTAAGGAAATGATCATTGATAAAGTTAAAGGACAGATAGTGCCTCGATATTTGATATACGACATTGTCAAGTTCAGTGTGAGTATTCAGATTTCCTTTGTCTTGTACAGTTTGTAGTGGACAGCAAGAATGTTTTTAGTTACAATGTACACTTTTCTTTCATGTGATTTATACACATGCTGTTCAGGGGGAAGCAGGTTCTATTGAATTTATGCTTCGTTGCTTGGCTTCTGTCATGTTGAAGCAATGCCAGAATCCTAACTAAGTGCTGTCAGAAAGTCCATACTGTAAGTCATAACAATCCCTTTACAAGTACTGCATGATGAAAGGTTATGTCAAGATGATTCAGGCGCACCGTCTCCTTTTCCTTATAAAAACAAAGAAACAAAACACTGTTTTGGAACATTGGAAGAACATTTTTAAGCCTTAATATTTTTATGGAAACTATATTCCAACCTTTTCAGTATTTCCTGTCATCCATGTTAGTGCTTTTGCTAATGTTTAAAGGTTGGATTGTCAGCCCCAACATTTACTTTCTGTAGATTTTACTGTTTGTCGGAGTCTTGACAGCCCTTTATCTGAACATCTTAAACCCTTTAGAAAATAAACTTGACCCCTATGTTTCCACCTTAAAGCCAAATTGAACCTTGTGTTTATTTCAGGTAAATACATTCTAGGTGCATCAAAACAAAAATTGCTCAATGTCTTTTAGTTGGTTTTCTTTCTAACGCGGCTATAGCCTGAGTAAAAAAACCTGTTCCCTGCCATCAGGGTCAGAGTGGGACCCTTGCTTACTATGGTGAAGCAGTGCAGAGTCGGACTCACCTTCTGCTGAGTCAGACCTATAGCTCTGCAATCAGCAAAGCTCATGCTCCCTGTTGATGGAAGAGCTTTGGCTGGGTATACTCGGTTATATTTTTTTTTGTTTAACCTGTGGGCTGATGAAAAAACTATTACAAATTTCTCCATCCACACTAAACGTTGTGGATGGCCTAGTCTCCTGGTGTGTGTTTTGTATTGTGACCGTGACGAGGAAAAAAAAGAAAAAACGCCATAAACAGAACCCTATGCCCACAGTTACACACAGTTAATCCAGAGGAAGGCAACAAACCCTATAAAGCATGGTTCAGTTTGCTTCAACAGGGGAAAAAAAAACCAATCCTTCCTGATCCCATAGTGCAATCGGATATTCTCTGGATCCACAATATCTGGTGTTGTTTACTTATAAAATGTCAATATCTACTTTATATTCTGTGAATTTAGGAATGCATCCAGATTATTTTTTAAAACCTATTAACCGAGCTAGCTAGAAGAAGAAGCCTATTCCACATTTTCACAGCTCTTACAATTTAGTTGCCCTTGTCCAAAATTGAACTGCATATTCCAGATGAGGTGTTACTAATGCTTTGTATGATATTAAACTATAATATGGTATTAGGTCTCTTTCTCTTGTCTCTTTTCTGGATTATGTCTCTTTCTCTGGCGTCTATACCTCTTTTAATAGAGTGTATGACGCATGCTTGTTTTTAGTTCCTAATTGTTTACACTTATCAACATTAAACTTAATTTGCTACGTAGATGTAATGTACTTACCTGGCCGTGCTCCTGGAATGGACTACAGAGCTGTCCTCTTCCTAGTAAACTGTAACGCATGTAATGCACTTACATAAATACGTAGAGCACACAGAAGACAATTTGCCAGATGGATCACAACTGCAGAGTTTCTGCTTGCTAACCACAGATCTGTCAGAATGTTTATACTGCTCTGACATACAGTTCTCTATTTATGGAAACAAGCAAGGATCTGTAATTAAGGAGATTCCCACTTTCCAAAAATCAAAATTAACACGAGTTCTTTTATTTGCACTGACTTGAAGACAAGATGAATACCATTGTATACAAAATATATATATTTATTAATTAAAAATCAGTGCAGAATAACAATAAAAATATAATTGGTGACAAACAAAGAATATGGATCAGATAATATCAATCAATTTGATAACCCAGGTAATGCGTAAAATGTAAACACAGGATATTATTCAAAATATAAATGTAACCAAATAAAATGACTTTTTAAATGCAATGGGTTGCTTATCAGTAGCTCACAGAATAAGAAAACAAAAGGTTCAGAATTGACATGTGACTTCTCCCAGCAACAGATGTTCACAAACTCAAACTTTTAACAGCGCATGGGCAAGATTTGTCCCATCATGCACAGGGTTGGCAATAAGCCAAGACTGTATTCAAAGTAAAGACACATTTCCATCAATTTAATTCAATATATATCAGACTAGGCCATGGACTAGAAACTGAAATACGTTTCCTGGAGATTATACAAATGTATATATTTATCTCCCAAGATTGAAAGACATAATTTGTACTGCAGTTAAAATTATCTCAAATCAATCTAGATCCTACAAGAACTAAATGGTCTGTTTGGGTATATATACGTGGCTAATGAATTGCCTAATATAAAGATAGAAATGTATACTTTACCAGCAATTTAAAATTAGTTGTCTGAAAGAAGTCAGCGGTCACAGTTCAGAAACAAGGGATGGTCAGGTTCTCTTTAGTTCAGTTCCCTTTGGACAGCCGTCCTCAGCTTCCGACCTATACCCTTAGAATGTATTTCCTTTATTCCTCCTCTTTGCTGGAATTTTGATCTCCTCCTGCTGGCTCCTGCTACTACCTTTATCCCCCCCCCCCTGGAATGTGGGCTTGGTTTGGTCTTCCACGTGATTATTGACGTGACTAATGACGTCAGATATATCATTTTGCCATATACCTCTCCCTCACAATCACCACCAGGGGGCACTATTGTTCTATATAAAAGTTTGGATAATTTCATTTAATTTTACTATTTTCTAAAGATCTTGTTGAAAGATAGCCTCTGACTTAAGCTATGGACAACAAAAAAAAACCACAAAAATTATTGGTACTCGTACTCTGTACCAAAATACCGGTATCGATGCATCCCTACTACTGAGTGGCTGCAAGTGGAGCCATATCTTTATGAGAGGATGGAGACCAGGGAGCAAGGAAGCAATTATGAGAGATGCATGACAATCCAGGGAATGAGTGGATGGGTGGATGCTTGTAGCAGCAACCTAACGAGTCCGACAGATGAAGTTACAGCAATCCAGAGTTGAGAGAAGAAAAGGGTTAATTCCCTGCCAGATCATTCAGCAGCTGAAAGGAAGGTGACTCCAGTCCAAAACAGGATGGAGAGCAGTATCACTAGGGGAAGTGAAATGCTCAGACTCTGTTGTTTACTAGGATGCCGAACAATCCAAACTTCCCAACTTTAAGCTGAGAGCTGGGCAGGAGCCGCATGTCGCTGGGAAAGTGGTCGTCGCTGTAGTCCATTCCTGGAGCACGGACGGGTAAGTATATTACAGTAGATACCCAAATCAAACAGAGCATTCAGGTTTGCTTGTAAATTGGAGACATCTTGTAAGGATGTATTCCTTTTGGCGTCATCTGCAAACAGAGAAATTGTACTTTTTATGCCCAACTTTGTATCATTTATAACAGTGCCTTGGATTACACCAATTACAACCTTAGACCATTCATAGCATTATCATCAATCACTACTCTCGGAATACAATCTTTGAGCTAGTTTTCTATCTGATTACAGACTGAATATTCGAAATCTACAGACTTTAACTTACACATTAGCGGTCTTTGGGGAACTGTGTAATATGCTTTTGCAAAGTCCAAGCATATTATGTCTACAGGCACTTCTTTGTCTAATTTGTTGCTTGCTTCATCATAAAAAAAAGTAGATTTGTTTGGCAACTTCTGTCACACTGCAGGGCTGAAAAACTTGTCCTGCCTTCACTACTTAGCTACTGACCCAAAACAAACATGTTCATGCAGAAGATTAGCTTTTATTTTATATTCACTAAAGACTCTGCAATTGCAATAAATATTTTTCAGACTCTGTTTTCCTACTGTTGTCAATGGAACAAACAGCCCTACGAAAGTTGCAGGGGAATCTCCGTGGGTCAGTTTTTTTGTTTAATCTGACTTTCATTGCACTTTTCAGTGTTCAATACCCTCATCTCTGGAAGAAATTCAGTTAATTGAGCTTGTAACTGACTGGTGTCTGTCTCCTTATTCTGGACAGTCATCATGATCACGCTTTTTCTATTCAGGAGTCTTGCTTCTGGATCGCTGCATTTGATTTTCCCCCCTTAAACAGTGAGTGCTCTGATCATAAGTGCAACCTTTCTTTTCCCCCTGCAAGTAAATACATTTTGTTAGTTCTATACTCCCCTGTAAGGTCAGCAACAAATGGATAGCAGAGGTCTCTCACTGTAATCGATTTCCTGTTGTGATTATTCATGATGATTTTGATGCTAACTAGCTTTTAAAAACCACAATAAACCAACTTGGTTCTTGTGACACAAAGCATAAAGAAAACAACGTATAGCCTTCTGGCGGCCTTGTAGACTTCATGGCTCTCTACCCTGAACAGTGTTGCTTTTTCAGACGCCGAGAGACCACATCTCTCTAATCAAGCACCTGTGCGGCCTCAGTCAGGTGACAAAACCTGAGGTGAAGTTCCTTAACTCAACCGTTTCCACAGCCTGGATGCAATATAAATCCTGTGTTGAACTGACTATCTTTGTCTGTGCCATCTACATGAAGGGAGAATGGCCTGTAGTGTGCTGAACATGACAACCTAAAGATAAAGTTCCACTCCATGATACTGTGTACACACAGAGCAATGAAAAAAGAAACACATACACAAAATCACAAATCTAAAACATCAGCTTAAAAACGCATAAACCGAACAATCAATAACACTGACCTGAAGCCATTTAAAGTGGGCCTGAAGTAAAGATTTGCTGTCTTTTTATAGGTAGCATCAAAAAATGGTAAATGTGCTATAGCAATATTCTGAAAGACATACTTTTTGTCTTCAATCCCTCCTGAAAATATGCATGCTTGTGACTGCTAGTCTTGCATAATTTTGGAGTTATATTTGGTGATGTCACTACAGTGTGGCTCACTGATCTCCCTTCTGGAGGGGAATCTGTACCTGAGGATCTGCAGTGTATGGATCTCTC